AATGGCCTCCATTTTATAGATGTATTTAGAATGGGACATAGGAAATCGATTACTCAAGGCATGTGAATGTCATGACAACTGACCCTTCAGGGGGCTTAGCCTTCTGGCCCTTCTGTGTCCTCCCAAGGGCCATAGGTGGTTGCAAGCCTCTATCCATTTAGCTTGCTCATGACCTCTGCTGCTGTGCCCTTCATACATTGGACCAAAGACTTTGAAACACATCATCAATCACCAATCATCATCATCATCATCATCATTGTAATCATTCATTCTTTACACATTTATATCATTTACTATTATATTGCAATTGAAACAATAAGTTACTGATTGTTTTTGTTTGTGTTTTTCAGTTGGTGGACATACCAACAATATTGGAATCCTATAAAACAGTTGATAAGAAAACATTCTTCAAAACTGCAGATATATGTCAGGTAAACTAGTGTTTCATTCACAGTATTTTCATTTATATACGAATTGCACTGTTAGTGGTGGCAGACAGTGTACCTACATATTGATCTGTCAGTGTTGTAATTTCATGCTTTGTATGATAGAAGACCGATAGTCTAAATTCTTTTGTGCTTTGGTCAAATCTTTTCAAATTGGACAAATTGCTGGGTGGGTCCCTGTTGGCACAGCTTTTGACAGCCATTTTTTAATGTGACATGTCTAAATATGGTCATGATACATTACATCATGACCATATATAGGAACATCATGGCTATGGGCATACAACATCTTCACACGTCTTTGAATTGTAGATGCTTGGTTGTTCAAATGAAGGGGAAGACAGTGGAAGTGGTCGAGAGGAAAAAGTTCTCCACACAAGAACACCGACAAAGTCAACAAGAAGTTTCTATGGAACCATGGATGTAAGTTGAAAACGAAACAAATGATTAATAAACATATACCATTGTAAATTATATATATTGTTTGGTGTTTGAGGTCGATTATTTTATTCATCTTCAGGAGAAAGATTAATCAGTTTTATAAATTCATCTGTTTTCACATTTACTTTTGAACAATATCTTTTAATTTCTTCAAAGTACCCTTTTTTCAGTAACACCTCTACTAAAGAATGTGAGAAAATGAAGGTTCAGAAAAAGAAGCCAAGAAATAGGTATGTCTAACTCTGATAACATTTTCTCATACTCGCTGCCACTTGGGGATAGGATACAACAGTGACTCGGTATTCTAGTGGCATTGGCACCAGGCTAGTTACCTGGAGGTCGTGGGTTCGATTCCCACCCGAATCACTTGAGAATTTTTTTCACTAGTATTCTGGAACGTACTGAGTATTTGGTACAATAATACATCAGGTAGGGCAAGACATCACTCCTTCGATATTTTCCTAATTCAAAATCACACATTATAATAGCATTTGCAGTACCAAGGTCGATAGCGCAAGGTCGATAGTCTAGTGGTTACGGCGCTAGTATGTACTGAGTATTCGGTATGATAATACGTCAGATACAGCAAAATGAGGGCAAAACATTACTACTATAATATTTTGCCATGCTGCTGGATACAAGAATGAATTATCATTAAAGATGAATGTTTTAAATACATTTCAATATTTATTCTTTTACTTTCTTCTTGCAGTACATAGAATCACCAGATATTGAGAAAGAAGTGAAAAGACTACTAAGAATGGACAGCACAGCTATCAGAATCCGTATCCTTTCATCCGTTTTATACTATTTTTAGGAATTTTATCTATTGTTTGAATTGTGAGTAGCAGCAGCAAACTGTCACTAAATGAGTAATTAGCAAAGAATGTGTCAGTATTGTGTACTTTAGTACAGAGAAGCTGTAATACTTTTATTCATAACTTTAGTAATAGTGAGTCGATTCCAGTAAACGACCCATCATTTTAAAGATTACAATGTGGAGAAAAAGAATATATTAACAAGTCAATATTATTTTTTTTGTGGTCATGGTGCTAGTTTTGTAATGTCATAACATGACAGTCATATTAACTGTCAATCCGTATCCTTTCATCCGTTTTATACTATTTTTAGGAATTTTATCTATTGTTTGAATTGTGAGTAGCAGCAGCAAACTGTCACTAAATGAGTAATTAGCAAAGAATGTGTCAGTATTGTGTACTTTAGTACAGAGAAGCTGTAATACTTTTATTCATAACTTTAGTAATAGTGAGTCGATTCCAGTAAACGACACATCATTTTAAAGATTACAATGTGGAGAATAAGAATATATTAACAAGTCAATATTATTTTTTTTGTGGTCATGGTGCTAGTTTTGTAATGTCATAACATGACAGTCATATTAACTGTCAGTCATATTAACAAAAAAAATCCTTTAATAATAATTTTTTTAAATCCTATTCTCAGATACTATGATCATAAAAATTTCTCTCTTGTTCAGTTCTATGTATATATATTTTTTCTTTGTATTATTTTTTGGCTAGCTAGCTAGGTCCCCATACATGGTTACAATCCTTATCTTTTTTAAGGATGGGAAGTGTTGCCTGATAAAGATGGCAAAGAAGACACAAAAAGTGAATTACAAATACAGTAGGTATGTTGGTTTTGAATTCTATATTAGTAGGGACCTTAGAGAACAAGGAGTTGCATATTATTGCTATTTATGTCTGTTATCAGTGGTGAATTCAAGGGAGGAGGGTCAAGCCAGCCTGTTTTCCCCCCCTCTAAATTTTGTAAGGTTATAAAAAAAACGTGGAGAACAATAGAAAATTATATTCAAATATTAAATCAGAGAGTGTCATTTCCAGCAATCTAGAGGTAGCATAATGGTACAATTTGTTCTGTCAGGCCCAACCATGGTAGACATGAGATTGTATTGACCCTCTGTTTTTTAAAGTCCTCCCCTGGGTCCCCCTCTGTTTCAAATTCCTGGATCCACCACTTATGATATAACATCTTGCATTTTACCATCATCTTGCATTTTAACATCATCTTGCATTTTAACATAATCTTGCATTTTAACATCATCTTGCATTTTTAATGGCAAAATTGTCATATAAAACCTGATAGTTTGACCAGGACTTAACAAGATAATTTCTTTTCAGATAGCAACGACTGGAAACAGATCTTTGAAGAGGTTAGTAGCTCAGAGAATGAGGAAGGGGAAGAAGACGTCAACATCATGGAGGTCGGGGATTCCCAGCAAGGCATGGAGGAGTTCAAAGTACAAAATGTCACTGATGCTCTCAAAGGATTAGAAGCGGCTGTAGATCAAGATAACACAATCACAGAAGACAGCATGCAGCATGAGAGTAAGTTCTCCCCTGCCCCCTTCCATCAGCCCCCCACTCCATTTCTATACCCCTAGATACACCACTGGTGACATCACAACACGTGACACACCTTTGTTACTGAGAATATAAATATGTTATATGTCAATTTCTTGTTTTAGTCACTTTTAGTCCTTGAGCAGATTGCTTATAAAACAGTCTTAACGAGTAGTCTTAACTCCTCGAATAAAGCTGGCTTTATCACGGTTAGACTGCTTTGAGTATTGAAATTCAAACAAGCACTCACTGGAAAAGTAAAATTGAGGGCACAGTTACACATACGTCATGCTTGTCTAATCCAATGACGTAGGGTAGTAGTGTGAAGTGCTTAGAGGCCTTGTTGCCATTAAGCGCTATATAAATCTAACATATTATTGTTATATCAAAATGAACGTAAATAAACGTAGATTGGTTTTTACATAAGCTGAGCAACCACACAGATAGCAAACTTTTAGTTTTATGTGCTCAATGAAATCAAGCTTTTCATCTAGCCTATCTAGATTGTAGTCTATTTAACCGGAGACCTGTCTGCCATACTGTAGAGTTTTTTAATTGAACAGATGATACCTCATAATCCAGCTCAAATTTGCGTAGAAAATTGCTGGGAAAATAGGAGCGCAGAAAGTAAATACTGTGCATTAATACATTTTTCATATATTAAGATTAGGTTAAAGCCTAATTTTTGGCAAAATATGCACGGAAATTGTCCCATATTTTCCGAAATGCATGGACGGATTTCTAGGCTAGATTTTGCACGGATTATATATTCCCCACGCAGGCCTCACTATACGGTCTGGCCTGTCTGGAGGCTTAGGACTTCACTTCTTGAATTGGAAAAAAAAAACACCACTTTGCATTACCGTAATTATCACCAAAATTATCTAACTAAAATCTGTGTTTTACAGCATGCAGCGGATAAACTTAAGCCTGGTTCTCACGAGAGCCCTGGTATCCAGATCGGGAGCTAACCGTTAGCGCTAACCATTAGCACCTGCATGAGAACGCCTGATTGGTTAGCAGTATCCGGATACCGGTATACTACTACGGTATTACACTATTAGCTTAAATTTCTCCCTCCCCCAATTAATTGCCATTTTCTAATAACAAGCCCTGCTATATAAATGTATGTTTGTGAATATTACTATGTATAGTGTAACTAAATCTTTGTAGTAGTTGTTCAGTTCTAATTGTTGATGGCTGATTAGATAAATAATTTATATGATTTATATAGCCCCTTCCTACAAAATGAACAAGACACTGAATCTCAACAAATGCAGCAAATGAGAAATGAATTTAAATAATTGCAGTGTCAAAGCCAGAGGCTCTTTGACAGCCGGCATCCACTCCATCATCATCTTTCTTTACTCTGCAGAACCTCTTTTGAGCGTACTCTGACAGATGCACAATTTATTTGATCAAATGTCAGACACAAATTAACTCTTAGTCTGATCCGACATTGGGTTTTACCGGGTGCTTCCAACTGAGAGGCCAGGTGTGGCTTGATGAAGTGACGCTGCTGGCGTGCTGATTGTCATTGAAAATTATCTGTTGCTCGTGCCTCGTTAACTTGCATTCTCCAAGGAATTGTGTCTGGTATGGTAGGTGCAGTGTGTGCTCCTGAAAATAGTGCAATAAACAATACCGTAAATGCTTGAATAAGCGTTGCACCAAACCTGATTTTTTTCAGCTAAGCACTGCAGTACTTAATCGAGAGCACAGTCACATTACCCTGTACAGTATGTAATAAAACACTTTTTTTATATATATATTTTTTTGTTTTGCAGTTTTGTATATATTATATATTATATTTTATATTTTCGTTGCAATCCTTTTCACAAGACAAATTATAAATAAGATGCTTTACATAAACTAGAGCCGTGTTTTCAATCAATCAATCAATCAATCAATCAATCAATCAATCAATCAATTTGTTTGGTGCCATTTCAACAGTAATTGCTCAAGGTACAATTCCAAAAAAGAGATTATTAAAAAAAACAAAAGATGCTTTCTGAGTAGTGACTTAAAATTATCAAGTGAAGGTGATGTTTAATGTTCAAAGTAAATTATTCCAGAGCCTTGGTCCTGCAGTGCTTAAAGCCTGATCTGCCAGCTATGTTTGCACCTTGGGGTGCCCAGGAGCAGTGGTGGACCGTCAAGGCAAGCAAGGTATGCAGTGCATACCCTGGCTAAAACAAATAAGAAAATATAGTAGTACAGTTTCTGCGTTTGATTTAGCATTTCTTAGCCACAATCTTTTATATAAACCTTAATTTTTTCGAGTGGATTGCTGTAGTTTATTGGAAAAGCAAAGTTTTTCAATGTTTAGCCTATTTTGGTATCTAGGATAAGTCACATTCAGGCCTTTCAGCTGCTTAGAATTTCCGCATGGTTGGTTTTCAATATCAACCAATCACGTATTGAGTGAGTCAATGGAATTCAGATATACTCTTTGGTACCCTACAACACTTAAATTTTCTATTGTGACAACCGTGTGGTGGCGTCAGAATAGCCAATTTAACGCTGGAATGGAAGCACTGCTTCCAAGAGTATATGCGCATGCTCTTCTTCTCGCAAATCAGGACATTCACTGCCGATCGGGTATTCTATTTACATGCCTAATCTCAATGATTAAAGTTTAGATTAAATTTGCATGCATAATTACTGGTATAGAAGAAACTTTGAATTATTATTATTCGAATTGAAATATGTTAAAATAGAGGAATAGGAATTATTTTGAAAAGAAGATACTACAACCATGCCGGTATTAAAAATAACATACATTTGTATTTTGGCTATAGCACAATAGATGTGTATAAGAGACAGCCGCTAACGGTTAGCAAGCGCTATCG